GACCGGTAGAGGCACCACGGTCCACAGGCGTCTCAGTCAGGGGGCCGCGCCAGCCGCCTGGAACCGGCGCGGCCGAGGGGAACATCACCCCTCCTCCTCCCTCTTGTTCTTCTTGTTGTTCCCTTTCTTGGCAAGCTCCCTCTCCTCCCGGGCCTTGCGCCGCTCCTTGAGCAGCGCCTGCTCCTTGGCCAGCTGGGCGCTGGCCCACTCCTGGAGGAGAGGGCACACACACACTCCTCCTCTGGTCAGCTCGCTGCCCATGTACAGGTGCGTGTCGACGCTGTCTGGGCCGCCGCCTCCTGAGCTGCCCGCGCTCCTGTCGCGGTACCTCTCCTGCTGCACCTGGATGTTCCGCACCAGCAGCTCCACGGCCGCCAGATTCGCACCATTACATTGGTCGTAGCAGATGAGCTCCTCCAGCGCCCGGCACGAGCGCTTATGCTCCTGCACCCCGGGCTCGTGCTCCTGGAGGCGGGCCTCACTGCGCCACCGAGAGTGCATCCCGGTCGGCGTCCCGCCGTGCTCGATAATGCACCGCAGGACCCAGAGCGCGGTGCGGGGTCCACGCACGGGCCACCCCGCCCACTCGTCCTCCCGGCAGGCCAGCACCGCCTCGCGGAACTCCCGCCGACGGTTGCCCATGGCGTCGTACACCACCGGGAGCACCCTCGCGTCCTGGACGTGGCCGCCAGCGCCCGCAGCACCCGCGGGCGCGCCTCCCGCAGCAGCGGGCGGGCCCGCGGCGGCTGCGGCGGCGCCCGCGTCCGCGGGCACAAGGGCGGCGGCCGCCCCTGGGGCGCCGGCGGCAGCGGCGGCGAGCACTCCGTCGGCTCCTGGAGCCGCGGCCGCCGCGGCGCCGGCCGCAGCGGGGGCGGGCCGCGCGCCTGGAACCAGCACACCGGCTGGTGCTCCTGCCGCTGGGCCACCGAGCGCCGCCACCAGGCCCCCGAGCCCCGCCGCCGGGGCCATTCCGCCCGGCGCAGCTGCAGCGGCCGCCGCCGGCGCGCCTGGTGCTCCGCCAAGCGGGGCAGCGGCGCCCCCGGCTTCGAGCGCGCCGGGCGCGGCCCCCCCCGCCGGCAGCCCGACGAGGCGCCCGCCGAGGGCCGGCACCAAGGGCCCGCCCGGCGCAGGCTGGCCCAGGCGTCCAGCAGCAGCCACAGCGGACGCCGTGAGGCTCGCAGCAGTCGGCATCGCACCAGCTCTGAACCGATAGTATCGCGCTCCCGGCCGACCCATCAGCACGCCACCCGGCTGCCGATTCGGCAGCGGCTCCCACTCGATGATGTCGGGCAGGCCCCACACCTCCTCGTACTCGTCGCCGTCGGGCGTGGTGATGGACACGGTCAGTCCGGCACCCAGCGGCAGGTAGTTGACCAGCCGCTCGTGGTACAGGGCCCCACCCGCGACGTTGTAGCGCACAACACAGAAGTCGCCCACCTGAAGGTCGTGAGACGCGGTGAGCGGGTGCTGGCCAGCAGCTGCCAGCATCATTGTGCCAAAGCCTTGGCCTTATACTGAGCTACCTGGGCCCGAGCAGTGGCGTCCAGGTCGTCGGCGTACCGCCCGGTCTTAACTCCCCAGCGCGTCAGCCGGCCCGCGAAGAAGGCAAGCAGGGCGATGCAGGCGCAGATGACCGCCACCGTGAGCGGCGTCACTGGCGAGATGTGGGCAACGTCACCAGTCGTGCAGGTCAGCGGCGGGCACTTCAAGACTGGCGAGCACTCACACGCCGGGCACGTCGGCCGCCCAGCCCACACGACGAGGCCAGTCGAGGCCCCCTCAGCGATCCGTCCGACAAGCTGGCGAATGGCGGCTTGCATCACAAGAATGTGAGGGCGCCCTGACTCAGAGCTTGAGCACGAGTGGCAGTGGCCATGCGGCGATGCTCAACTACAGTGCCTGCTTCCCGTACTGAATACACCCATCATCATCATCAACAACATCAACAACATCAACATCAGCAGCAGCAGCAGCATCATCAAACTCATCATCATCATCATCATCACCAGCATCATCATCATCGTCCTCCTCCTCATCATCCGCATCCTTCTTATACTCCGCATCTTCTGCCTTCATCCCTCCCTCCATTCTTCACTCCCTCTCCCTCCCTCATCCCTCTAGTCGCTCCATTTATCATCCCTCATCCCTCCGTCTCTGCTGTCGATATTTTCCTAGACAAGAATCAAAAAGATGTCACGCGTGCTCGCGGGGAAAATTGTGTTGCGTTGGTTTTGAATGGTTTGGGCTGTCTGCGCTACTCGTGGGGCCCCACTTGTGGCCTTTTGGGCCTGTCTGGAGCTAATCATGGAGCCTCTTGGGCCTTCTTGGAAACGTCTGGAACCCTCTTGGAACTTGGCGGAGCAAGCAACACGCCGAAACTCGCAAACCACCAATCGACGCGAAATGCTTGTGCCGATCAAGAAAACAAAAACAAGGACGAATACGCTAAAACACCCCAGCCCACAATTGGCAAGGCAAGCGAGGCGCGCCAAACGCAGGCCAGCCAGGCAGCAGCGCACCGAACCATCATCATGATCTGCCGCCGCATATGCAACGTTTGATACAGGTATGGCCCTGTTCTCGACATTCAGTAAGGCATCCGTAAGTTGTCGAGGCAGTGTCACTGGCGTAATGTATCCGCCTCAGTCCTTCCTCATCTCTCGCCTGCCTCCGCTACCCAGAAGGATAATGATACACTCTGGCTCGCTGAAAAGATCGCTGATAATCATACTGACTCAAACACGGACGCATTCACAGTCAGACGCATTCACACTCAGACGCACTCATACGCAGACTCACTCAGCTCCCAGACTCACTCGTCGTTCAGACCGACTCGTATGTAGGCCTTTTCTGCTCACACTCAAAAACACTCACACTCCGCCTCACTCATATTCAAACTCACCCACACTCTGACTCAGGTACAGATCCAGTCATACTCATGCTCACTCGAATTCGGAACCAACTCAGACTCACTCGGACCTGTCAAAACGGAACCGCCAGAGGATACGTTTCGGGTCTGGCTTTGTCCATCTGGGAGGGGGGGGCTATGAAGTTAAATACCCACGTATGAATTACAATTGCAAGGCTTCACAAGGACGAACCGCCAATGGGTACGACACGGATCTCATTCGCGCCGCGTTTGCCAGGACCTCTCAAGCAGAATGGTCGCTTTGGGGCGAGGCACACACGTCCCTTTTCAAAGCCCCACGACCATCGCGATGCAGCGGTTTTGGTTCTTGAGCATCCAGAAGGGGGGAGCCCCCAAAGGGCACGGCACGGCCCCGCGCGCGCCCGGATTGCCAGGACCGTTTCAAGCTGGCCGCTTCCAGGGGTAGAAGTCATTCTATTCAACGCACCATGACCATAGCGATGTGGCAAGCATGGCGCGTGGGGCCTCCCAATTGGGGGCGCCGCCAGGGAGACATGACACAAGCCCGTTCACGCCCAGACTGTCTAGACTTATGTAAGGGGGTGTGCCGTTTTGGGAGGAGACGCGTTTAGCATTGGCTACATAATCACCGCGATATAGAATGGCTCTTGGGCATCCCAACAGGAAGCCGCCAAAAGTGCGGCGACACGGTTAACATTCGCGCGCCCGCTGCCAAGAAATTTCACGCCGAATGACCGCTTCGGGGGGGTAGAAACGTCTCTTTGCACAGCCCCACGGTCTAGCGATGGAGCATACATGGCTGTTGCGCCTCCCCGTCGGAGGGGACACCGAGGGATGCGGCACGGGTCCGTGGGAGCCCATATCGTCGGGACTTCGCAAGCAAACTTGCACTTGTTGACGGTGGACGCATATTACTCTGACCAACATGATCACCCCGATGTAGAGGGCAGGGCCATCGGGTCTCCAAAAGGGGGAGGCGCCAGGGGTGTGGCACGGGCCCGTTCGCGCCCAGACCATCGGGACTTTTCAAACGCACTTACAGGTTTGGAGGGGTGGGGCGCCCTCCTCCGAACCATCCTCGTCCTCCTCCAAACGAACCTCCTCCTCACCCTCCTCTTTTCTGCTCTGTTTTCCTCTTACCCCTCCTCCTCCCCCCTCCCTTCCTCCTCCTGCTTTTCCACATCATCGCAGTCATCATGAACATCATCAGCATTATCGTGATCATCATCACCATCACCACCACCATTCCAGCAGCGACCCACCCGCTTCATCCTCATTTCTTTCCTATTCCTGGTTTCCCTCCTGGCACCATCAAGACACTGGATGCCGAAGGAAAGACCTGGAAATTCCAGGCTGCAGGAGACTCCAGGAATCCCGACGTGGCCCATGAGGCCCAAAAGTGTTCAGGAAACCGAGGGAGGCACCGGGAGGCACCAGGCAACCCCATACTGCCACCATGGGCCCCAGGAACTTCAAGAAAGCCCTCAGCGATCCCAGGAGGCCCAAAAAAGGCCCAACGGCGGGGGTAAAAGTCCGCAGGGGGCCTCGCGAAAACGAGAAATTCCAAGACACCCTCGCTTCTGATCAGACTGATTCGTACTTAGGTCTAACCCGTAATCCTATCCTGTCATGACATGAGTCTTTTCGCAGCCAGCACCCCATGCGCAAAACGGAACGGAACGGAACACTGAGTACGAGCCGTGCGCGCTGGCGCCCGGCTGCGCGCCCTGAAAGCTCAGCATAACATGGTCGGCCCACCGCGCCAGTGGGCGCCCGCGGGCCCAATGCCCGACTGGCATCAAATTACGCACCCTTCGGGCTCAATGCTCGAATTTCATGCTGCCCAGCCGTGCGTTCCAGCGCAGACGCCCGGAACAACGTTCATCGATCCATCCACATATATTGAGATGTTTCGTCGATTGTCGCGCATCGGGCGCAGCGCGACGCAACCACCCCATCCATGTGTCGATGTCTTCTTTTGGAAAAACATTACGCTGTCGTCCAAGACTCACCCTGACCAGTTTGATCTGGATGTTTTCACGATGGAGCCCCGCCCAGCCAACACCACTCAACTGGCACAACCACCCGAAGCACTCGGAGTCACAACGGAATGGAAAACTGCCACCCCGAGATTGAATGGGATAGATCAGTCAACAAATTCCTCCTCGATGACGCCAAACTCGCCCAAACTTTTTTACAATTGATCCCTAAATCCAGCGCCATGGGCACGCCCTTCCCGAATATAAATGTCGTTTGCATGTGGTTCCCCAATTTCAATGCGCACTCGCCCCACCAGAGTGGTTCTGACATTGTTGCACCAACCAACGCTGGCGCGTTGGATATTCGCCCCCGCCGGGTGCAATTCCATGACGACGTTCGCACTCTCTCGCCGCGCATCCTCGACCACGCGACCGACGCTCGGCAGCGACCTGCCGACCAAGAAGATGCCATCTCCAAACCGCAAGATAGCAAGCACGGCATTGTCGCTGCATCTCAAAACGTTTGCCGCGCGCTTCGGCGCCCCACTTGACTTCCACATTACATTCCGCGTGGTCTCCTGGAGGGGGCGACTGAATACGAGTGATCTCAGGTTGGCCATGCGCAGCTCGTCGCGATATGGAACAATCCCGTCTCGTCACGTCGGAACGCGCATGCGTTCGCTGCCAAAGGTGCAACCTGGAAAACGTTCGAGCACACACTTTCGGCGCTCCGTGGAACACCACAGACCCCCAAGCACACGCGTGCGATATGAAATTGAAGATATTTGTGGGAGCCAAAGGCAGCGATCCAAAGCGGCGCGTTGAAATCGCCACACTCCCCCGCAAAAAAAGCGATGGCAAATAAATGGCCGTCGCAACCGAACCCCGGTCTGAACCCTCGAGCCACGGCCCAGAGTGGCAGCGAGCATCTTCGGGGCAACGCAACACTCACGGATCCTGCAGGCGACGGAACTGTCGTTTGCCAATCCTCGAATTCTCACATGCGATCCCGCAAGTGAGTCCCGCCCCCCACCTGCCCGCATATGTCCACGACCCTGTCTATAGACACATACCCTTTTACTAAATTGTGTGGAAGTGCACAGATGCCGCCGCGATGCCCCATCACTGTCTGCCACGAGATCGGGCTCCCTCGCCGCCCCTCTACGCGGGCAAACTTCCGTGAGCAAACCACGCAGATCGAAGTATTGACCGCATCCTCAGCCATTCCTGCCCCACAGCGTCGCAAGCGGCGCCCCTTGACGGACTTCACAGGCTACTGCTTCGTGATATGCCGACGAGACTCGCACATCCACGCAGTTGCTCTGTTCGGTGGATACACGCGCCATGGCGTTTGCCATTTCAAGTTGCTGTCGATGCTTCTCCAGCAGATGCTTGCCAAGCCCCCCATCGGCGTTGCCGCGCCAATGGCAACCCTTGGAGGCGCAATGTTTCCACTGCAGACTCACCGCGGCACGCGGCGCCAGAGCTTCCTCGCACGCGGCTGCCCCGTTCGAAGAGACGGCGGGCAACGTCGGTTCGCCCTTCAACTCACCGTTCGCCAACAGCTCCAAGTCTTCTCCCCTTTTCCGTCGCGGGCCCTCGGAAGCAATAGCAACGCGGACGCGATGCGCGCGCGAAGGCCCGCCTTCGCCGGGCAGTCGGGAACGCCCCCTCTGGCCGCTGTTTCCCTTTGGCCAGCCATATTACGTCGGACTGCGGCATCGTGCGCTTCTTTCCCTGATACGCTGCCCGCTTCGCCACCTTCTCCGTCGATCCTGGGAAGGCCCGCGACCTCCTCTCTGTTCCTGCCCTCTCTGCGGCAATCGCACCCCTCCTCCTCTCCCCCGACGCGCTCCTGAAATTTCCGAGGACGCGCAGCTGGGCGGGCGGGCGGTGGCGCTAGAAACGTCGGCCGGTGCACAGCAAGCACCCCCCCCCCTTCGCTCTCGGTTTCACTGGGGCCCCGTCCGTTTGCGCGACGGCGGGGCCTTCCCCGGCCACGACAGCAGATGCCGAGGGGATCGCATCCACAAGTGCTGCTTTGCTGTTGACGCCAATGCGCTTCGCAGGCGTTGGGTCTAGGGGGCCCCATCGCTTGTCCATTAGCGCTCTTTGTCGCGCCATCGCCGCCGCGTCTGATGTCGGCGGGCGCGCTCACCGACACATCACTCTCACTGCATGGCTTCACTGGTCTGCAGCTGGGGCTGCTGATTTCTGCCCTTGTTTCGTTGTCTATTTCAAATATTACACATATTACCACCGACCTGTCTTCACATACGTTCCCTGAGAATGGCCACCGACCGAGCACTTTGCTGCCCCCCAGAAGCTCCGGGCGGGAAAATACAACGCCCACCCCCTGCCGAGGCCCGACTTGTCCGTCGAAACGAAAGCACGTTCGCAAGATAACCTTCTCCCGCAATAGAAATCCATGCGCGCCGCACCCTCTCCAGGCAAATCTGACAACGTCGCTCGCGTGAACGGCGCGCCGAAGCTCCCCTTCGCGCGAATCGGGCGCCAACCAAACATCCCCGGAGTTCTGCAAATACTCTAGCTGGACTTCGGATGCAACGCGCCGCCCTTCCAGGACTGCCAGCGCCTGCCAGCGCAACCTCGCATCATACATGACCTGAACTGTTAAGCCCGCGCCGTGGCCGAGCCCTCGCCCCCCGACGCGCCCCGCCATCTCCGCAACGCGGTCCACGTCGGTTTTCGCCTCACAGACGAGCGCCCCCATCAAAAACTCCATAAACTTCACAGTGTACTCTTCGACAACGCGGCAACGATCCACCGCGAGGGTAGCATCGTCGAGCGCGCCCGACGCCATGCTCCGCCCTGGCCATGCGCGTACCCACGTTTCCTTCATGACGCGCAGAAGTGGCTCTCTAGTGCCCCACGCTTTCCAGAATTGCACGAGAAGCTCCCCTGGCGCGAACTCCAACCCTGCCATTTCCAGCGACGCCGGCGCCGCGCACGAACCCCGCAGCAAGCACAATGCGCGGAAATCCGCCTCGCGCACGATCAGCACGGGCGCCAGGAGGTCGCCAGGAAGGACACGCAGCGCCGGCGAGCGCCCTCCCCTGCTAACGACGCCCTCCACGATGCGTTTCGCCGCGGTGTCTGGAAACGCCGACGACGATATGCTGCTTTCTCCCCCTACTGTCGCCGCCCCGCCTCGCACTGCGTCCGCCCCCTGATGGCCATCGAGCCGTGCCCGGTTAATCGCCTCATCAATGCCGTCGCTGACATCCCTTTGCTCAGATTGCGACCGACGGATAGGCGCGCCCCCTGCCCCGCCCCCCGCTTGGCTTCCGCAGTCAAGTGAATGTGCGATCCTCGCCTTCGCCGAGGCCCCTGCGCCAGAGTCGATCCCGCCCTCTGCGGAAACCGGTCCGACACGGCCGCTCATCGACCCCCCCCATGGACACCATCGCACGCCGGTGCAGAAGCATGCACACCTCGGCCCCATTCCCCGCCTGCCATTCATCCGTCGCCGCGGGGCAACGCGCAACACTCACCCATTCGTCGTCGCGCAACAACCAAGTCTGCTGGCCGTCAACGGAAATCGCGCAAGACGCCGCGCAGTGGCCGCTGCGCGCAGTTTCCCCACGATGAAACACGCACCCCTGGAGCACGCACCAAGCGCCACCCACGCGCGTTCCTTCGCGCGACCGGACGCGGCGCGCAGCGAGCACGCAGCTGAGGCTGGAGCCACGCAACTTCTGGATCCACACACACGAACGTGACTTTATTCGCCGACCTGTTGCCACGTCCCCGCGGACATCCCAATTTAATTAAGTCCACGTCTAATACTGAAACGCGATACGCCACATCCACCGCGCTCGGCGCTGTCGTGACGGGGACGCCGACAGACGTCAACGCTGGCACTTCCAAGCAAGTCTGGATCGGGATGCCTCTCGCAGCCTCACGCCTGGAACAACGTTCGTTACCGCACTCAGTCCTTTCCGCGCTCATAAACAAGAAAGGGATCGCCGTCTCCTCCGCCCTGTATGGGCTCAGCAATTCCACCAAGAATCACGCGCGTCCTGCTGCGAGCCCTGGAGGCCGCATCACGCCACCCTCGATGTCTCGCAAGGCGACCGCCAGGAGCGCGTCAAAATTGGGGCCTCCTTCGCGAACCTGCACTCGCATGGGCCCTCGCCGACGAAACTGCCACCAACGCCGCGTCTCCGGAGGCGCGGGGGGCGCGGATCTGACGGCGTCTCTCGCGGCCTCAGGCGCCAACACGCAGCGCAGCGCTGCGTTTATCCAGCAATAGTTTTCTGGGTTTGACAACCGCCTCAACGGGGGCGCCCCCGCCAAGGCCTTTTGCCCTGCTCGGCTGCGACTTCCCCGTCGCCCGCGTCGACGCGAACGCGCGATGCTCGGAGCGCTGCCCGGAGGTCCGACGTTCAAGCGGCACCGAACACATTGCGAACGACGTGCTCGGATCGCCCTTGCACTGCGTCGCTCGCCAGGGCCCAGCCCGCGAGGTCGCCGACCCCGCGAGCCACGGCGGCAGCGCGGCGCCCCTCGGCCGCCGCGGCGGAGCACGTTCGCGCAGCGACGTCCGCGTGGCCTTCAATCGTTCCCTGCGCACGTGCGCCCGCGCACGAACGGGCGCTCACCGACGGCTCCGCGCCGCCGCCCCCGCCACCGGCGCCAGCTGCGCAACGTCGCCACAGGGCCTGAGCCAGCTCCCTATCAGCCCCGCGCAACTCGCCGCGCTTACGCGCGACCCGAACGACGCGACCCGCGGACAGCCAAGCGGCAGACCCGATGCAACGACTAGCACGATCACCCAAACGCCACCTCCAACGTGCTTGCCCCTCCATGAGATATTCGACCCGCTCGACTTCGCACACCCACAAGGAGGCTTTCCGAAGACATAACCACCGCTCGACGGCATCCACTTTTTTTGCGGCACTGGATCAGCCCCGCCGCCAGCAGACCATAGACGGTTCGGACACTCGCGCACGAAGAATCGCAGCGCTTCTCGGCGCCAGCAGCCTCGACGGATCCTCGCCGCGGCTGTTTGCATGCACTCGTTTTCCCAGTCGCTTCGTCGGACGCCATGACAGCCACGGGACTCGGCGGCGCGCGGGGCACATACACTGCCCGTGCGACAGCCACGCGCAGCATTCCGCGGCCGACAGCGTCGCTGCGGACAACCCCATGGCTTGCGCAGATTCCACCGCCCTCGCCATGTTCGCCATTGCTCCGTCGCTGGCCGCGCGGCGCACGGCCCGCGCCGACGCCGGGCGAACGTCGAGCGGGCCGAGCGCGACCGCCCCCGACGCGACGCGCTTCGCGGCGGAAGACCCACGCCGCGAGCAGCCGCAACCCACGGATTCGGACCATTCCCGAGGGCAATGAGAAAGATTGCGCGCAATGCGTCGAAGAGCGACGCGTCGGCAGCGTCGCCCCCTGGCCTTTCGGCAGCACCGCCCCCACTTGGAGCTGCAACAACTGCCGCGCCCCGGCTGCGCATCCGAGCACGGCGCGTCAGCGCCGCCGGGCCTAGTCGGCCAAAGGCCCGCCCCCCTCGCCCTCT